AAAATCGCCACGCACTTATCATTACAGTGTCGCGCACCTGTTCCGCCACATATTTCGAGGCACTGTATCCTGAAACGATTGCAATTTCCGGGTCGTCTATGACGCTTTCGGGCACCGCACCATTCGATCCTTCCCATTTGCTTGCAACACTGATCGACGACGTGAAGATGATCTTGATCGTTCTGCGAGACCTTGCGCACATATCCACTAGCGCACGAACACCAGCGATATGCGAGTGAAATGACCGAAGGGGAAGGTTGAAGTCGACGGTCCATGCGTTGTGAACAATGTGGGTGACGGAAGACAGGATCTGGAGTGCCCGCAGATGAGAAAGTAGTCGCAAATGTAGCGTAAGTATAATCGTACCTGTTCATAAGTTGAGTGGTCGAGGCCCCAGTTCTCCTTTGTGGTGTCGCCGACGAGCACTGTGAGACGTGCCTCGTCCTGCGGCGTGACTGGGAGCCCCCGCTCAGACAATGTGGTCCGCAGACGCTCGAGTCCATTGTTCGAAGATCTGAGCAATACATAGACTCGGAGGGTGCGGCTGTCGTGGAGCAGCGAAGCGAGAATATGGGAGCCTATGTTGCCTGTCGCACCGGTCAACAGGACGACTGCACCCTCGCCTTCGAGCACGGGTACTGCGGGAACGCTCTGCGGCATCTCGCTGCAATGCAAGGAGATCAAGTCACGAACTTCGTCCACAGATGCACTGGAGGCGATGTGACCCCGACTGTGTAACGACGAGAAGCAAACAGAAGATGCGAGGAAAGAGGCAAGCTCCCGTATGGTGGGGTGTTGGAAGAGCAGGCTCGGTGAGATGCCCGAGCTGGCTTGACTGGCTAGCGGATCGTCAGACGACCGCATACTGGCGGTAATGCGATTGCGTAAAAGTGTTGTGCTTAGGCTGTAAGCATCATCCAGTCAGAAAGGTAACAGCGAGGTCAGAGCGCGGTAATATACCTGTCGAAGCCTTGTTCCAACAGGCTGCTTTCGATCTCCGGTACTTTGCCACCGTTGATAGAGGTCGCCTGTTCAAGTAGCCAGGGTACAAGATCCTCTTCTTCCCATGTCCTTGGGTGTGTGATATCTCGCACACCAGTTCCAGTGGCAATGACTTCGTACCTGATATTTGCGAGGATCTAGTGTGTTCTAACGTCGAATGAAGCTTTCTACTCACAGATACCGGATTTCTACATCATAGACGGAGATGGCCTGTTTACGGATGACGGAACCCTTCGCCGCGCGTGGAAGAGGCCTAGTCGGATCGGTAACGATGACCATCTCTTGGAAAATCCTAGCAAACGCAGGGGCATCTGCATTCGCCTCTTCCACGCAAGGCCTACACGATAATCAGAATTCGTCTGCGGCAAACTGTAACTTTGCATACCAGAGACTGTTTCTGAAGTCCATGAGTGCGGCACCGTTGTCCAGATTGAGAGGCGCACTTGGCTCGACAATGATACCGGGCAGTTCCCTCTCGCGCCCAAACATGACGCACCCCTTCACGATCCCGCAGGACGAGATATGGCTTTCCTGAGGGATGGGGACGATCTTTTCTCCTGCAGGCAGCATAATTCAGCGTATGTACAGAGACTCAAGCCACGTCCTCACCTGTGCTCAACACCAAAACATCGTCTTTGCGCCCCACACTAGACGATTGATCAGGCTAGGTGTAGGAAAAGCAGAGCTAAATTTTTACATGCGCCAGAGGCCCTCTCGTGTCGGGTGCGGCTCAAACAGATCTGACGTGGCGTAGGCCTTCTCACCGGGAACGTTGTACATGGCCAGTTCGTAACTACTGTTTTCCTTTCAGAAGCCATCAGCGGGCAGAATAATGGTCAATGAACGTGAAAGGTACCAGAATAACTAACTCGTATGTGCCGTCATCCTGTGGTTCCCATCGAAGAGTGGCGGTTTTGGAGAACTGGATATATTGCCACGCCGGGTCGACGTCGGACGTGGGGTGTGCGCTGGGGGACTCGTCCCACACCTTCGCTGGTGAGCCAAATTCTGTTCCGCCGTAGCTGCAATACAGCTTGACACCAGCCTTAGCCAGCTTCGATCCGGTCGACTGAGACAGCGGCCCGCCTCCATAGATCTGGAGCCCCTTGGGAAAGCGTTATAGAGAATGAATACGGTATCACGCACCAGGATCCTGAGTGTCTTGAGATAGTCGACGACCTCTTGTGATCGTGCCCAGGCCTTCTCTATACTTCAATGAAATACCCAGACACTTCTATACCGCACACTCACCTCGATAAAGGACGAGACGGAGTATAATCCGGTGCATCTGGTCAGCTTGGCAACATCAAGTACGCTCTGAGGGTCGCTGACTATCGGAGGACGAGGGTCTTGTGGCGCATAGACGGCGATTGGATATGAGCTCACAGCAGGATAAAACACGTGCACTAAGAATCCGAAAGGATGGAACGTGGGCAGTCCCATGCCCCCGTAGGAGATACCTCGAAGCCGACATGCCGGAATATAATCTGGAGAGAAGCCGTGGTGAATGAATAGCGCCATGGCAAAACATAACATAGACTGCATACTGATATGGCCATCAAAATGAGGACCATGCCATCGCCAGAGGCGATTCTCTGTGAATGGGATGGATTTTGGGGTTCCTGTCGATCCTGATGAATGCAAGTACATTGTTATGTGGTCTGAACCGACTTGGCGTGTCGGATACAGATTGGAATGTGCAGGTTGAGTAGGGAATACAGTAATGTAGGACGGAAGATCGTCGAGCTGTAGGTCAACTCCTTGTGCAGCCATCGTCGCTGTGACCTGCGCAACCAGATCCGTAGTGTGTGAGTGGTAAATGATGCGGCGACAGCCGGTGGCGCTGAGCATTGCGCAGACTGCGGCAGGAGAGTTACGGGGAGACATGGGATATGGCTTGAGCGAGAATGAGTCCAAGGCCGACATAGCGACAAGGCACATACCACAATGCCTGCCCTCATGGCACCTATGATAATCGAAACGTATAGTATGCTGTCTGTGTTTATTATGAATGCAATCACTTCGTCCTCTGGGCCTCTTCGCTCAGGACGAAGAATGTGGGCAACAATTTCGGTTGCTTGGGCCATCTGAGCGTACGATATTGCATCGGCCTTGCCGGGATGGTCCCGCGAAGGGAACAGGGCCCATGGGAGGGTTGGATTATTGCGTGCTTGGAAGTCGGTTAGTTGCGGGAGTGTAATGAGAGGGCTTTCGAGAGGGGGAAAGGCACGATCGGTCATGACAATGGTGTCGAAGGCCAGTTGCTAACTCTCAGGCTCCTGAACTCCTGTGGTACTAAACTTTGTTACCGTACGATGATGATGAAGAGAGTGAGATAACTAGATGTCGGCCTATCGCGGCGAACAGGAACACGAGCACCCCAATCGTGGGCTGCTGTTGCTATTGCCCCCAAAAGCCAATTCTGTGAACACTCTCACGAGAAGTCGGTGACGTGCATTATGTAATGCATACTATCAAGCGAGCTGCCCACTTATCCAAGCGTATGGCAACCTCGACGTTAGACTGGCGAGATGTGTTACCGCATTCGTTTGCGTTGGCAGTGGTCTCCGAGCACAGTTTCCCTATCATACGCGCGCACTCGCATAATAATAGCCACTCACCATTATTGTGGTCATCGCAGACCGCAGCCGTGACATGACCGCGCGGTGACACAGGAAAATTTCCCGCGATGGCATCTGCCAGCGCTCAGGATGACCCCCGAGTATTAACGAGTACAGCGAATCTATGTGCGAAGCATGTCACAGCAAGAATGAGAATGTAAGGGTAGCGATAAATAATAAAAATAAAAATCGTGATGCGCAGCATGGCAGAGGCTGTTCGCAACGGCGGCCACTAGACGCCCATTATGCAGACGCCGGCCCTGCAGGCGCTTGTTCGCCTTGACATCCGCTCCCACCTCCATCCAAGTCCTGAGATAGCACGGCGGGCATCACCAGCTCCACGAAGACATCTGGAGCTGTCAAGCATCTCGCGGTTAATCAACGACAGCTTGTAGTTCTGATAGATGTGACACAAGCCACAAAGATGAACTGACCGCCTGCCGCTTTCGAAGCTGGCAGCCGAGCCTCCCGTTGAGCATCCTGATAGCTGGGCCTGTCCAATCCCGTCACTCGCTTTGAGCTTGAGTGGATAGTGTCTCCATTGTTGTCCACAAGCTCGATCAGTGAACACCAGGAGCCCATGTCCTTGCTGAATGCATGCGAATGCTAGCAGGCTTCGTTTGATACTGCCTGCCTTATGTTGAGTTTCAGCTTGTCGAACATGCTCAGAAGTCACTTATGTAATATGACCATTCTCCGTCCTACCCGATGGACAGCGGAACAAACGAAGACCAGATATCAATGCCCCCGTGTGCACGCATCTACCACGCCTCACGCTGGTAGTCATGTCTTAGGGCCCATCATCGAAATCGGCACTCCAACTATTCAAATTCCTTTCAACTCTGACAGCCGCCGAATGAGGTGCAGTGTATTCAAAGGGCTGTGGCCTTGTGTCATCCATACGGCGCGCATTCACTTCGAGACGCATAGTCAGGGGGGCCTTGAGCAAAGAAGTAAGCCCCAATCGCTCATCAACCTAGCCTTTTGTAACGCGACGATCGCGCATGAGAACTCACTTCGACGAGAACGTTTCCTCTGCGCGTGACCGTTGTACATGCACCGGTTGCCCCATAGTATCAAACTTCGTGCGAAGAGAGCTACGCTGCTACATACAAGGCAAGGTTCACGCCGCGCGCGGCTGAACCGCATGGCGTGGCGCCGGATACCTCTCAGCTGGACGCAGAGACGCCGGATGCCTTGGAGGTGTTTACCGTCCATTACGCATAGTCGCATAGGGTCGCCGATAGCTTCCCCCAATCTGTACATGGTTCAAGCGCTAGGGGGGCTTCCGCGGCTATGTTCCGGCAACGCGACAGTTTAGATGCGCTGTATGCAGGAGACAGTGGATTGTCTTGGAAATCTGGACCATGAACCCTGCAGCGCGAGGCTTTAAAGGCGAATCGCAACGCTGGCAAGTTGCAGGACTCTTTGGCCATGGCTACTCAACGAAGCATCTCATAAAGTTACTAGAGCGCGCTCCGTCTTCTATCAAGAAGCGCGTTTTCGTGATACGCCATATGCAAATGGAAGCATGGTGGAGCGAGTAAGGCGCGGCCGGAGACAGCACCTCAGACCCAGCAGCACAAGTACGGCAAAGCTCTCTTGGAGGCCATCATACGGGGACTACAAGCTTTTCACTGGGTGTAAGTCCAACTTTTCTCCTCGAATCAGATGTAAACTGACTCAAAAAAGGGCCTGATGTGTTTTCGCCTACTGCGTTCTGGCTGCGTCTGGCCAGTTTTGTGCCCGATTTTACCTCAATTGTCTCCATACGCAATTGAGAAAAATTGGGCCTTATTTAACCAATCCCGGTTTAATCTTCTTCAAAAACGCTGTGATTATTATCTGTGCTTTGAAACGGACCACGCTTGAGGGCCCCTTGGCCCTTTGAAACGCCTTGACAAACCTGTCTGACATAGTATCTTTCCGCTAAGGTATTGTACTTGTACCGCCAAACGGGATGGCCTTGTGGCATAATCGCTGGGACACAAATGCACCGATCCGGCCGGTCGGACCGCTGCTGTGCGTAACGTCTTTGGTCACCGTGACGAAAGTAAGTTCGCACACTCATGGTGCCGTCTCCGTTAGATGGGTCTTTGCATCACATTCGGGAGAACACTGCGCAGCGTCTGTCGTATCAACTCCACCGATAACTATGGAACAACCTCTCAACCTGCGAGCGTGACTTTTGGCTTTTTTGCCGATCGCCTACCGTTTTGCCGATATAAGCCCCCCGATCCGCCTCGTCTGAGCTAATCCTCCCCTGGTACTATCGACTTACTCTCTTTGCACCATGTCGAACGTGTCTGAGCCCCTGGACAATCCCATTATTATTAATGCCATGCCCCAGTATGGCGGGGCTCTCATCGGCGCGATCGTTTCCGCAGCATTATGGGGTATCTCCTGCATGCAAATGTCAGTCAAATCCACCACTCTGTCTCGTATCCCATCTAACCAATCGTCTGTGCAGGTTCATGTATTTTTTGAAGTACGTCCAATCCTTATCATGAGGTGCCTCCCCCGACCGTACCAACCCAGCTACGACTCCGATCGTTGGTCCCTCAAGCTCTTGGTACGAGTCATTTTTCTGCTCCGCTCTGTCATGCTAAGACATCGTGCAAGGTCGTTTATGTCTGGGTAGCTGACACTGTGGTGGAGATTCTTGGATTTGTAGGCCGTAAGTCTATATACGTGAGCTACTCTACAGCACTGTCCTGAATATTTCTCCGCTGCCGTTCAGTATTCGACCAGCTTATCACTCGCTGGGGTTCTATCATCAGATTTGATACCCTCATGATGTGGGACACCTCATACTTCATTACTTGGAGGATTGCTGATCTGTTTCTCTTCTTAGAGGTTTGGTGGTATGTATCACGCAACTTCGTTTCAGCGGTCAGGACTAGTATTGACAATTAATGTAATGTAAATGAAGGTTCGGGCCGCTCTGGCAGTAAGTGTCCTTTCTCGCCATTACAAGTTACTTTCTGATATCAGAAACAGCCATTAATCTCGACTCCCGTACAAATGTTCTTCCTCTATAGGATCCATCGATGTGGGTGTCTGGGTCAGCAGCAGCCCTGCCTCTATCTAAAGATCCCCCAGTTTCTCAGAGCCGGGAGTGGACCATGCACGCTGCTATGGTATTTATGGTGGGTGGTAGACTATTTTCTAACCTATAAAATGGATACACGCCCTTAACGGCATGTATAAGGCTATGTTGTCCATCTTGCAGCTGCGTAAGTACTTCGCTCTTGGCAGTTATTGGCCATCCGTTCTAACAGGCAGACGCTCACAGCTCTGATTACCGGTAAGCTATCGCCATGTCATATTTTATGAGCGACAACTAAATCCCTATTTACAGGAGTGTGGACTGCATGGGTCTTGTGAGCGTCACTCTCGTTTCTCAGGTTGTTTGAGCCTATGTCAATGGGCTATGTAGAAAATCAAGAGAAGGTGTTGCATCGACTCTGGCCTCGCACAGAATAGTTGTACGTGCAGCAACTGGTTCAATTGAGTTGGAATCCGGAGGGCTTACGAGGCCATCCGCAAACTGCAGACCATTGAGATCATATGTCGGGCTATCCCCGCCTTTGTCGACATCTTCATCGCTCTGTGGATGACAACTCTACTCTGGCGCAGTAAGGAGCGGGCGCGAGTCTTTAGGAGGTGCATAATCAGCAAACAAACAATGGCTATAGACATCGCAATCACTGACTCTCCTTGATAGATCGAATCGGCTCATACTGCGCTTAATGTTATTGACAATCAATGCCGGTATCTGGACAGCCGTCCTTTCAATCATCGATCTGAGCTTGGTGCGCTCGTTCGTATACGACTCTACGGTGATGCTCATATTTCAGGCCAGATCGCGTGGAATCCCGGTAAACTCATATTCGACGCCTTCGACTTTCCGATTACTCCACTCTACCTCAATATGCTCCTTGCCAGCCTGAATGCAAGGCGGTTCCTTAGGAGAGATGCGGGGAGCATCGGGGAAGTAAGGGTTGAGACTCTGGAGTTAGATACGAGAAGACGGCAATCTACGGGCCTCGCTCTGCAGCGGTCGAGCGACAGCGCCGCGCTCGGTGGAGGCAAGGTGAGTGCCAGCTCGCAGCTGTGTTCAACGATGCCAGCCAACAGTGTTGTCGTTTCAGAATCCTGTTCTTGCCGTCCGCATAGATAAATCTATGACTACATACAGCGACGATGATCTGGAACGTGATGCCGGAAATTAGCTTCAGGGCTTCTATAGGCTATGATTACTTTCATTATTGTGTTGGATACCTCATGTGATGCTTTTACTGCATAAAGGACGGCATCAACGGCGTACCTGAGAGGAAAACGCTCATGTTTGGGTGAGTTATGTGCTGAATCCCAGAGGAACCAGCTTCGCGAAAGGCGTGCTCCACATAGTATGCGTACAGTGACTCATCAAGACCATACTTCCGGCGCTGATCAGCCTGTGCGCGTATGGGCACTCGTGCAGGAGCAAGACCGAATGGTCTAACTTACAGGCCGAGTGGCCCCGCTTTAATGATGTACACGGTGAGTAAAATCACGAGCGAGCACATCTTGCGTGTCAGTGTGTGTCAAAGGCCGAGCCCGCCGCGATGCCGGGCGCCACCATATTGGCGCCTCAGGCGCATCTGATGGAGCATCACTATGATGCGCTCGCTATGATGCGCTCGTTATGATGCCGTGACAAATCGTTGAGACGTGATTCTTGAAATAGCGTGTCGTTACGCACCGCCATGTAGAACGACCTGTATTTATGTAATGTGCGCCTCTTATCTGCAGAACTTAGATAAGAGCTGTTTCGCTGCGCTCCATGATTGCTAGCTTCATGGCTGCGGTTCTACGGGTGTCATTGAATGCCAGTCACCATGCCTCGAATTTCTGGTTTTACTGGCTACGATCCGTGCCAAGCAGTCTCCCAGCCAACACCTGGTTACGTAGAGTTTGTACTGATTCAAGGTCAGAGGTGTAAGCGATGTTCACAGGGAGCAAGGTGCGGATGTGTAGAGCTCAATACAGTAAGAGGACCTGATTATTTGTCACACTGCGCATTTACACCATATGGCTACAGATGCACACAATGCCGTTCAGGACGGGATGAATCCATTTGACTTCCAGTGTTTCATCCACATCGCAGCGTGTGCTTGAGTCAGTGGAGCGAGCGCGCGGATTGTCGAGCTCGAGCTCCCTAGCAGTGAGGTCGCGTACAGCATGCCTTCTCCAGATCCGTCGTCGCGCTGAGACGCCATATCTCGGAAGAATGTGACGAGCTTGATTGCAGGCTATGTGGAAGACGATTGAGTTACTGTCAGTGTATGATTGTCAGTTTTATAGAGTAAAAGCTCACGATACGATCCATGTCCTGGGCAGTCGCGCTCGTTGAGAGCGCCTCTACTTGCTCTACCCACTTCGATAATGGCACAAGCGGAATGTGTCCGGCGAGCCCTTCCTCAAGACCTTGCAAGATGACTGTCCATGGTGTTCTCTTCGGATGAACAAAATTCACCAGAGGGGGGAGTGGGTCCTTCGAAAATACCCAATCGGTGTATACCTGTCCAATGACGTCAAGCGGTACCCAATCGACATTCTGCGAAACGTGAATAGGTTCAGCTAAAGCTCCAAGTTGAATGGGGATTAAACGTGGGACTTACTCCAGGCATATCCGGAAGACTCTCGAGAGCAACACTCGATTTCACCATGATAGGAAACCATTCGGTCGTATCCCATGATCCAGTAGCAGTAGATCCGCATGCTTGGCCCATCCTGACCGTCGTCGCTTGGACGCCGTTCGCCACCGCGGCACAGAGGACCTGGTAGGCGCGATTTAGAGCTCAGAAGCTCAGAAGCGCGGTGCACTCATGACTACAATGTTGCATACCTGCTCCGCCACATATTTCGAGGCACTGTATCCTGAAACGATTGCAATTTCCGGGTCGTCTATGACGCTTTCGGGCACCGCACCCTTCGACCCTTCCCATTTGCTTGCAACACTGATCGACGACGTGAAGATGATCTTGATCGTTCTGCGAGACCTTGCGCACATATCCACTAGCGCACGAACACCAGCGATATGCGAGTGAAATGACCGAAGGGGAAGGTTGAAGTCGACGGTCCATGCGTTGTGGACAATGTGGGTGACGGAAGACAGGATCTGGAGTGCCCGCAGATGAGAAAGTAGTCGTAAATGTAGCGTAAGTATAATCGTACCTGTTCATAAGTTGAGTGGTCGAGGCCCCAGTTCTCCTTGGTGGTGTCGCCGACAAGCACCGTGAGACGTGCCTCGTCCTGCGGCGTGACCGGGAGCCCCCGCTCAGACAATGTGGACCGCAGACGCTCGAGTCCATTGTTCGAAGATCTGAGCAATACATAGACTCGGAGGGTGCGGCTGTCGTGGAGCAGCGAAGCGAGAATATGGGAGCCTATGTTGCCTGTCGCACCGGTCAACAGGACGACTGCACCCTCGCCTTCGAGCACGGGTACTGCGGGAACGCTCTGCGGCATCTCGCTGCAATGTAAGGAGATCAGGTCACGAACTTCGTCCACAGATGCACTGGAGGCGATGTGACCCCGACTGTGCGGCAACGAGGAGAAAACAGAAGATGCGAGGAAAGAGGCAAGCTCCCGTATGGTGGGGTGCTGGAAGAGCACGCTCTGTGAAATACTTGAGCTGGCTTGAGTCGCTAGTGGATCGTCGGACGTCCGCATACTGGCGACAATGCGATTGCGTAGGAGTGTTGCACTTAGACTGCACGCATCGTTCAGTCAAAAAAGTAGCGATATATTTATATTCTATAACGACATACCTGTCGAAGCCCTGTTCCAAAAGGCTGGTTTCGATATCTGTTATTTTGCCTCCGTTGATAAAGGTGGCTTGCTCAAGTAGCCAGGGCATCAGATCTTCTTCTTTCCATGTCATGGGGCGCGTTATGTCCCTCATTCCAGTGCCGGTGGCGATGGCTCCGTATCTGGTACGAAGAGGATTTAATGGGCCCCGATATCGAGTAAGTTCTCCAACTTACAGACGCTGAATTTCCTCGTCATACACGGAGATTGCCTGGTTACGGATGACAGTACCCTTCGCCGCTCGTGGAAGAGGCTTCTTCGGATCGGTAATGATGACCATCTCTTGGAAGATTCTGGCGAACGTAGGGGCATCCGCATTCGCCTCTTCCACCCGTGGCCTACACCGCAGTCAGCATCTGCTTGCGAGGAGTGTCATGCTTCTTACCAGAGGCTGTTCTTGAAATTCATGAGTGCCGCCTCGTCTTCCAGATCGAAAGGGGTACTTGGCTCGACAATGATGCCGGGCAGCTCCCTCTCGCGCCCAAACATGATGCACCCTTTCACGATCCCGCTGGATGAAATATGACTTTCCTGTGGGATAGGGACAATCTTTTCTCCTGAGGGCAGTACGTTTCAGTACACAGAGAGAGTTTTAGGCCATATTCTCACCTGTGCTCAACACCAAAACATCGTCTCTGCGCCCGACACTACGGGGCTGATCAGTCAAGGTAAAGGAAAGGCGGAACTTGGTTCTCACAGACGCCAGAGACCCTCTCGTGTCGGATGCGGCTCGAACAGATCAGATGTGGCGTACGCCTTCTCTCCGGGAACGTTGTGTATAGCCAGTTCGTAACCACTGTTTTCCTTTTAGCAGCCATTAGCGTGCAGAATAATGGTCAAGGGACACGTGAAGTACAAGGATAACAAACTCGTACGTGCCGTCGTCCTGTGGTTCCCATCGAAGAGTGGTGGTCTTGGAGAACTGGATGTACTGCCGTAACGCCGGGTCGACTTCGGACGTGGGATGTGCGCTGGGGGACTCGTCCCACACCTTCACGGGTGAGCCGAACTCTGTTCCGCCGTAGCCGCATAATAACTTGACGCCAGCCTGAACTAGCTTTAATCCAGTCGACTGAGACAGTGGCCCGCCTCCATAGACCTGAATCCCTTTGAGAACGCGCCACAAAGAATATCTATGGCACCACGCACCAAGATCTTGAGTGTCTTAAGATAGTCAATGATCTCCTGCGACCGTGCCCAGGCCTGCTATCCTTCAATAAAATACTCGGACGCTTCTATACTGATTATTCACCTCGATAAAAGACGGGATGGAATATAATCCAGTGCACCCGGTCAGCTTCGCAACCTCGAATACACTTTGTGCATCGCTGACTATCGGAGGACGAGGGTCTTGTGGCGCATAGACGGCGATTGGGTATGAGCTCACGGCGGGATAGAACACGTGCACGAAGAACCCAAAGGTATGGAACGTCGGCAGCCCCATACCTCCATAGCGGATACCCCGAAGCCGACTTGCCGGAATAAAATCTGCGGAAAAGCTGCGGTAAATAAGTGGTGGCATGACAGAACGTAGAATGCCACTGATATGATTATCGGCGTAAGAGCCATGCCATTGCCAGATGCGCTTCTCTGTGAAGGGAATGGATTTGGGAGTTCCCGTAGATCCTGATGAATGCAAGTACATTGCTATGTGGTCCGGACCGACTTGGCGTGTTGGATAGAGATTGGAATGTGCGGGTTGAGTAGGGAATACCGTACTGTAGGACGGAAGATCGTCGAGCTGTAAGTCGACTCCTTGTGCAGCCATCATTGCTGTGACCTGCGTGACCAGATCTGTAGTGTATGAGTGGTAAATGATGCGGCGACAACCGGTGGCTTTCATCATCGCGCAAACTGCTGCAGGAGAATTGCGAGGCGACATTGGATATGGCTTGAACGAGATGTGAGCCTGGGACTAGCAAAATGGCAAGACACATACGACAAGGCCTGCCCTCATGGCGCCCAGGACCACTGAAACGTATAGGATACTGTCTGTGTTTATTATAAATGCAATTATTTCATCCTCTGGGCCTCTTCGCTCAGGACGAAGGACGTGGGCAACAATTTCGGTTGCTTGAGCCATTTGAGCGTAAGAGATTGCATCGGCCTTGTCGGGATGGTCTCGCGAAGGGAACAGGGCCCATGGGAGGGTTGGATTATTGCATGCTTGGAAGTCGGTTAGTTGCGGAAGTGTAATGAGAGGGCTCTCGAGAGGGGGAAAGATACGGTCGGTCATGACGATGGTGTCGAAGGTCAGGTTACTGACTCGTAGGGGCTCCTGACCTTCTGTCGTATAAAACTTTACTACCATATGATGAGAGTGAGGCGATTAGGTGTCGGCTTATCGTGACGAATAGGAGCACAAGCATCTCAATCATGGGTTGCCGTTGTTGTTTTCACAAAAAAAGTCAATTCCGCGATCACTCTCACAAGAAGTCGGTAACATGCATCATATGATGCATATCAGACGAGTCGCCCATTTATCCTGGCGTATGCCTCGATGTTTCACTGGCGAAATGTAGCATTACTGCATTCGCTTGCGTTGGAAGTAATCTTCCGAGCACAGTGTCCCTACCATACGCGTACTCTCGCATGGGAATGGCCACTCACCATTGTGGTCATCGCATACGGCAGCCGCAGTGACGTGACTACGCGGTGATACAGAATGACCGGCGATGGCATCTGCCAGCTGAACCGAATATGAATGAGTCAGAACAAATCCATGTGCGAAGGGGAGTACCTTGCGCTTTCACACGTTACAGTCAGGAGAAAAATGTGAGGATAGTGACAATCACGGAAAAAGCAAGATGTGTAGCATGACAGACTGGGCGACGAGGCAGACTGCATGTTCACAGCAGGGGACACCTTGCCGGACGCCCAGACGCCCATCAATGTGGGCGCTTCTTCGCTTCGACATCCGCTCCCACCATCTCTCGTGAGACTTGGACCCCATCCTGATGATGGAATGGCGAGCACCCCCAACTCCACGCACACTTGGGGCTATCAGCAATCTCGTAGTCAATCTAAGACGGCTCGTACGTACCAAAAGCCACAAAGGCGAACTTATTGCCTGCCGCTTTCGAAGCCGGTAGCCGAGCCTCCTGCCGGGCTTCCTCATGTTTGGGCCAGATTCAATGTATGCGATGTGTACAGCATTCAATCACATGGCATGTCCAATTTCCAGCCCTACCCGGTGCTCAGCGGAACAATCGAAGGCCGAATTTCGATGCCCCCGTGGGCCCCGCATTGGTGCTCATGCCTCAGGCCTCAGTTATCAAAATCGGACGCTACGGCACTGCGAATGACCGGATCCCTGCCATTTCTGACGGTCGCATGGGCCAGGTACAAAGTCTACAAAGGGCTGGTGCCTTGCGGCGTCCATATGGTGTGCATACACTACGAGACGCGTAGTCAGGGGCCCTTGGGCGAAGAGGTGAGCCCTAATCGTTCATCAACATAGTCTTCGTAGCGCGATGATCGCACATGAGAACCCACATCGACGACAACGCTGCCTCTGCGCGTGACTGTTGTGCATGCACCGGTTACCCCGTAGTATCAATCTTTCTCCAAAGAGAGCTGCACTGCTACATAAAAGGCGAGGATCACGCCGTACACGGCTGAACCGCATGGCGTGGCGCCAGATGCTTCCCAGCTGAACTCTGGGGCGCTGTATTCTTGCAGGTGCGTAAAGTCCATTACGAACAGTCGCATAGGGTCGCCGACAGTTTCCCCTTAGTCTGTACATGCAGTATCCGAGGAGCTTCTGCAGTAATGTTCTGATAACTTTGTGCGAAATAACAAACTTTTAATGCTATGCGCGACAGTCTGGACGTGCTGTATGCGAGAGATGGCGGATTGCCTTGGAACCTGGGCCATGGGCCCTGCAGCGCAAGGTTTCAAAAGACTCTCTGGTCATAGCCACTTAACGAAGCATCTGATGAGTTTACTAGGCCGTGCTTCGTCTTCTGTCAAGAAGCGCATCTCCATGATACAGCGGCGGCTGACAGACAGGGAAGCATGGCGGAGTGAGTAAGATGTGACCGGAGGGTGCCTCGGACCCGGTGCCACGAGTACTACGGCACAGCCCTCTCGAGAGCCATCAAATAGGGATTGCAAGCCCTTTGCACGGACGGAGGAGCAGTTCGTTCACGCTTGAGAGCTCTTGGAAGCACAGTGTCCCTCTTGGCGTCTTGAGACGACCATGACAGGCACCTGGGGAATGTCCGATACAATAGGAATCCTTCGCTATTTAGGCACTGTACTTGTACGGATGACCTTGTGCGCCGGCCGCGGCCCGTGACATGAATGCACCGACCCGACCGGATGGATGCTGTGTGACCTGTTGCCAGCCGGATGAGGGCTTCGTGACGCGTGACATGAAAGTGACTTTGCACTCAGGATGTCGTCTCCATTAGATGATCCTGTAACACCACATTCGGGAGAATGTCGTGTGATTTCTATCGTATCAACTTCACTTATCACTAAGGAACAACATCTCAACCTGTGAGCGTGACTTTTGGCTTTTTTTGCGACTCGCCCGCTGGCACCGCTTCGCCGATATAAGCCGCCGGTGCGTCTTGTTCGAGCTAATCCTTCCCTGGCACTATCGACTTGCTCCCTTTGCATCATGTCGAACGCGTCTGTACCCCTGGAAAATCCCATTATTATCGATGCCATGCCCCAGTACGGCGGGGCTCTCATCGGCGCAATTATTTCCACAGCATTATGGGGTATCTCCTGTATGCAAATGTTAGTCCAATATATCCAGCACTTCGTTTCGCAGCTCATTTAATTAATCGTTTGTGCAGGTTTATGTATTTTTTGAAGTATGTTCAACCGCTATCATGACTAGGAGCTACATCCCCTGACCGTACCAACCCAGCTTCGACTCCGATCGTTGGACCGTCAAGCTCTTTGTACGAGTCATCTTTCTGTTCCACAATATCATACCAAGACATTATACAAGGTTGTCTACCTATGGATAGCTGACACGGTGGTGGAGATTGTTGGATTTGTAGGCCGTAGGTGTATATGCGTGAGCTACTCTACAGCACTGTCCTGAATATTTCTCCGTTGCCTTTCAGTATTCGAATCGCTTATCACTCGCTGGGGTTCCATCGTTGCATTTGAGAGCGTCGTTTCGTAGGACACCTCATACTTCATTCCTTGGAGGATTGCTAATCCGTTTCTCTTCGTAGGGGTTTGGTGGTATGTATTACGCCACTTCATTTCAGCCGTTAGGACTGCTGACGATTCATGTGCGACGTTGATGAAGATTCGCACTACTCTAGCAGTAAGCGTCCCTTTTCGCCACTGCAAAGCACTTTTTGATATCCGAAACAGCCACTCATCTCGATTCCTGTACAAATGTTCTTTCTCCGTAGGATTTATCAATGTGAGTGTCTGGGTCAGCATTGATCGCGTTTTTTGTCTAAAGTTCCCCTAGTTTCTCGTAATCGGGAGTGGATCGTGCGCATTGCTATGATATTTATGGTGCGTGCAGACTGTTTTTTTGACTTATACATGTGGGTACATGTGCTTAACGGCATGTATAAGGCCATACTGTCCATTTCGCAGCTTCGTAAGTACTCCACTCTTGGCGGTTATTGGTCATCCGTTCTAACAGGCAGACGCGCATAGCTCTGATGACTGGTAAGCCATCGTTATAACATATCCCATAAGTGACATCTAACTCCCCATTTCCAGGAGCGTGGACTGCATGGGTCTTGTGAGCATCGCGCCCGTGTCTAAGATTGTTTTAGCTTATCCCAACTGGCCATGTAGCAACTCAGGAGAAGATGTTGCATTGACTCTGGCCTCGCACAGAGTAGTGGTACGTACGGTACTCGGTGATTCAATTGAGCTAGAGGGCTCACGGGACTATCTGCAGACCGTCGAAATCATAAGTCGGGCTATCCCCGCCTTTGTCGACATCTTCATAGCTCTTTGGATGACAATTCTTCTCTGGCGCAGTAAGGAGCGCGCAAGAGTCTTTAGGAGGTGCGTAATAAGCAAACAATAAATGCTTGTAAACATTGCAGTTACTGACTCTGCTTGACAGATCAAATCGGCTTATACTGCGCTTAATATTGCTGACCATCAATGCCGGTATCTGGACAGCCCTTTTTTCAATCATCGATCTAGGCTTGGTGCGCTCGTCCGTGTACGATTTTACGGGGTTACTCATAGATGAGCCAGATTGCGTGGAACCCCAGTAAACTCATGATGGACGCCTTCGATTTTCCGCTTTCTCCACTCTACTTCAATATGCTCCTTGCCAGCCTGAATGCAAGGCGGTTTCTCAGGAGAGACACAGGGAGCATCGGGAAAGTAAGGGTCGAGACTCTGGAGTTAGATACACTACAGCGACCTGCGGGCCTTCATTTCTCGCGCTCGAGCGACAACCCCGCGCTAAGCGGAGACAAGGTGAGTACAAGCTTGTAGGCTGTGCCCAATCATGCCAGCTCATAGTGTTGTCCTTTCAGAATCCCGTTCTTGCTATTCGCATAGACAAATCTATGGCTACACACAGAGACCGTGATATGGATATGGATCATGATACCAAAGTTTAGCTTCCGAGCTGCTATAGACCATGAGTGCTGTCGCAACCGATTCGGGGACTTTGTACGACAATTCAGCAATGCATAAATACATTATATCAGGCTAGACGCACGAAAAACGGCAGAAGATTGTCCAGACGAACGTACTGCTTACCAAAGGTAGAGAATCCGGGAGCACAAATTTTGTATGGGGGGACGGCACATAATACGATGGCAAGAAGATCTAATGATATACACGTATGCATGTTCCAACGGGCGACTGTCACAGCCTCGCCTCCAGCATCTCGTGCGCCCGCTCCCAATCTTGCTCGGGCATCTCCGCCCAGTGGAAGCGCCACAGGTCCTGCAGCGTGTCCGAGACCTTCTTCAGCTCGTTACGATCCCCCGCGCGCAGTTTGTCGATGTCGGTACCTGAGGGGAGATAGTCTGGGTGGAACTCGTAGAGGAAGCCGATTCTGAGCGAACGTTCGACGACGTCGCTGGCGATCGGCCTGCGAATCGCGTCGTACACTTTGAGCGCCTCCGCGATGTTCCCTGCCGTCACCTTCGGGTGCGCGAGAATGCGGCCCAGGATGTAAGAGTCCTAGAGCTGCATAAGTGAACGGAATATTAATGAGTGACAGAGGGCCTACGTCTATCGCCTGGCCGGCCCCGGCCCCAAAATGAGTGCTCATGGCGTGAGCCTGCGTGTCAACGTCAGAGAAAAACAAGAAAATAATATGGGAGAACTCACAGAGTCACCTATCAGCGTGACCCGCCCATCCGCATATTGAGACAGACCGCGGATATGGCTGATGGTCCATTTCGACACATCCCCAACATTCTGGACGCCGGTCCGTTATTGGGATCTTTAGCATTGGTATGGCATGGCAGATAACTTACCTCCACCGCGATGCGAAGATCATCCTCCCAGTCATTGTACAATTCTGCAATTTCATCCTTCGATGCCACGGCAACTGAAGGTCCGGCGAGTGGCTTCCCGAGGCCGCCAGGTACGGTGTCAAAGACAAGGATGTTGATCAGGGTAGGGGAGATCGGATATGAGATTACATGCTGCAAAGCCGTTAACTCAGTATACTACTCGGACAACTCGCAGTGATGTACCTTTCCACTACCACACCACTGCCAGCGTATCAGCGGCGACCCTCAGAGTTCAAATAGAGAGCGCACCATGAGACCGCTACTCAACATGACATTTTCTGGAGAGACGGCGCGCAGCTTCTCTCCGTCTAGGAGCGTCCGATACGCGTATGTTCCGGCCCACGTCGGCTGTGCTCCCTCAAGGACTGAGGCCGCCTTCGCTGGGTCGCTCTGAGCAACGCGTTCCGCGATACTGGCGTACATCGTCTTCCGAGTGGGTGAGCCTATGCCGTCTGCACCCACGAGGAGATGTGCGCGGGACGAAGATCCGTCTGAGAAACGAAGGGTGACTCCGTCTGCATCTTGCTTGTATGAAACAAACTTCTTGGAGAAGTGAATAGTAAGGAATGGCGTGGAGTCTGGTTGTAGGTTTTCGACAAGGAGCTGGACCATATCAAGTCGAGGAAGCGCGATGGAGCCATCTGCAGCGCATGTCATAATAGCAATAAAGCTGGATCTGTAGTACATATCGAGGAGCTTACGTGGAAAATCGAGTGTGTGAAACGCGAAAGGCTCCTTCGTATCGCTTTTCCTCAGTTTCATCGGGGAAGAGACGGCCCGGTTGTCCAGGGCAGCTTGCAAACCAAGCGAGGCAAAGATGCTCCGCGTTCGCTGCCATACAGTGATCCCAGCACCTACCTCGGTGAACGCGGACTCGGCCTCGTACAGGTCGACGGTGAGCGTTGAAGATACCATAAACTTCTTGAGGACCAGGGCCAGTGAGAGACCACTGATTCCTCCACCGCTATAGACCTCGGTCAGAGGCTTTGGGATCAAATACTAGAAGTGCAACTTACCATATAGCTACTTTCAGCGACATGGTTTCCAACGTCAAAGCTGTTAAAGAAACGAGTCAGTGCTGTGGCCCACGCTGTCGAGATTCGGCTTGGTATATAACTACGATATGTCTTAGATGCGAACGAAAGGCGCAATATATCTGAAAAAAAACACGTGTAATCAATGTGCGGCGTGCGGGATGAGGCCTTGAGGCCTCAGCCCGGGGCCCGGAGGTCGAGGACAGAGGCCAGAGGACCGTTCGGGGAATGTTCGGGACCGTTGAGTCTCAGCGATGACGTCATCGAGACCTAACCCCAGCGTTGGGCTAATCGCGACGTGTTTGTCCAGCTGGACATCCCCCCAGCTCTAGCAGTGTATTCATCCCGCTGTTACGTTTTCTCTTGAACTTGTGATCTTTTCTGCGCAACCTATCTGCGGATACTGCTTTGCTATGGACGGCATGCTCCGTGGTCACAAGAGCCCGCTTACGGGAAATCAAGGTCTCCGTTCAAGCTTCAAAGCTTCAAGTTCCATGCCGTCGTAACGTTCACACAACCTCCAACGTCGCCTTGCTTGCTCTTCGTCCATAACAACTCGACGCAACAGATTTTATTCGCTGTGAACCGAATGACTGCTATTCCGCCTCCAGACTCTTGGGCTACTTGTCGAACCGTTAGACAAGTCCCGGCGCTTTCCATGGCTGAGCAGGATGCGCTCAAGGTGCGAGTGCACGCTTTTCTCACACTCTGGGCATGACATACAGCTTGATACCCAGACGTGCTTGTTCAATCTCTACAGGAAGTATCTGGATCCACTGAAACTTTGGCAAGAGCAGGATGCGAAGGCGAAGACCATGCTACACCAAGAGGTAGACTTCCTGTATATCTTCTAAGCTGTTGTCTCAATTCAATCCTCTAGGCACGTGCAGGATTCCCGTTGTTGTTGCGATACAAAGACGAATGGCCCGTGGAGTATGTCTTACGCTATTCTCTCATCAGATCGCGCTCCATGCTGAAGACTCAAGCGCGAACCTCGAGGAAGCTCGGCAAGCGAACGAGAGAGGTTTCAACAAGGCGAAAGAATCCAAGATCTACTCGGGCGGCTCGTAGATTGAAGGAGAAGGAGCCGTCTGCTAGCAATGGCCCTGAGTCTGAGGTAAAGCTTGGTGTGTTCTGCCATCTGTGCTTCTGACCTGTCCTCTGGTAGGATGAGACCGTTCCGTCGTATGACCGAGCACCATTGATCCGCGGGGAGAACAATTCTGCAGCATCGAGCAGCTGTCAGACGGCAGAGATGGTAAGTAACCATGGTTGATCAGTTTGGAAGCCGCTCACCCTGCATCAGTTAGGAGACCAAACCCCACGACGTGAAGGCAACGCAGACTCCTCTAATGGCGAGGCTCACGCTCTTAGCCATAGCGGGCTCATACAAGGAAACTCGATACATCCCGGCAGAAAGAATGCTACCGTGCGATTTTCTGAAGGCCAAGACGAATCAATGTATCCGTTGGAAGAAAAGCTTGATATGGAAGAGGTACGGGTATTCTTGCCCTTACTTTGAGTTCGCTGACATCCATCATTCGCTTAGGACGTCACGATGGAGGAGACTCCTGGATCGCAACTGGCTGTCGCATCGAGTCGCTTACCGCCATATCCCACGTCTGGGACGCTAGGAATGTCAGACAGATGTATACCGCTGTCGGAGAATACGGATAGACCAGCACCCGAGGCATCGCCCACGCCTCTGCGGCCTGAACCCGCACAGCACCTCCCCCAAGCGGAACACTCGCTTCGTCCTGGTGTCACGCGGGCTGGCCCTGCCGATCCTGCACCGTCTGTCAACAGCGGTATCGTGTCTCGTACGACCGACTCCGCCAATCCAAATCTTACCGGACCTCCGGCACATGGAATCGCCCAACCTTTCGTCCAAAATTTCCTTCGCGGCGTCTTCCCGCCTCTGTCTGCGCCTGACATCGTGCGTCGGTTCGTCGACGCTGGCATCGTGGAACGCATGGATTTGGTCGCGTGCTCACAGCTTCCGGAGAGGGATCAGCTAGAGATGCTCCGCGCCGACCTAGGGCTGAATATCCTACACTCGAGGATGGTGAGAGTGGCGTTAAGTCAGGTGTGATAGTCGAGTATGTGTGCTTTGTGTACTATGATTTTGGTCAATTTGTATAGCTCAGTCTTGGGGTATCTAATGTATGAGTACGACTCGGAGAGCACGCTCAAATTACATTATCATCCATGGGACTGTTTCGTCGTGCTCCCGCAGAAAATGAAACTCCTCACTCGGCTGGACCCCGTATACCGAGAAAAGCACACACTCCGTAGTTGCACTGGGCATAACAAGCACGGAGTCACATACCATCGAAATGGACAGCCCTGTAACTTCGAACCATATGATCTCGTCAGTCACGCACCTGGGGCTATTCTGCGGGAAGGAGCAGCTGGAGATGCTACGGGCTGACCTGAGACAAGAAACCCTGCTTCTGAGAACGGTGAGAGCGATGTTGAATTTAGCATGACGGACGAACGAGTTGCCTACAGGCTCTGAGTGCTACGTACTTTACCCTTTCCGTAACTTAGTCCTGGAATGTTCGACGTCAGATTACGAACCAAGGGACACGCTAGATCCCATCTCAGCCACAGACCATGTATGGGCCACTTCCCGTATACCCTCGAGACAGAGGTACACGAAAATACCAGCTTCAGATCTCTGCCGCCTCTGTCTTGAGCATGTCCGCAGCCTTCAATCGAGAGTCAACGAGAAGGCACCAACTCCAGGCGATGATTGCCTACCTTCTCGCCAATGGCGTAGGCCAGGGATTGGGTGTGACATGACACTTCCTGTAGACATACTCAGCATCATCGCACATATACCTCCGGCAGCCACCAACAAGAGGCAGAACAGAAACGTCCACCTTTATTGCAGATAAATCAACGTGAGCCTCCGAACTCCCGTGGTGGAAAGGTGCAGCACATACTATGCGAAGGTTATTTGTCCCATAGACCCTCAGCTCGGCATCGACGACACCTCCGTCTTCATGCGCCATCATCGCCGCGGTGCCAACCGGATGGTACACAGGCCCACAGAATTCTTTAACGTACTTCCTGAAACCTTCAGTGCCGCGGTCGATGAGCGTCTGGGATGGGACGAGCGATGACTTGACCTGTAGGCCCAGCGGCGGCGTCCGGAGGAGCTGAAGCATGTACTCGAGGATGTGTACGCACAGATCGAAGTCCGTCTCGTCCGCGAAGTAGCTCGAGTTGATCGCGGGCGGCGCAAGTGGGTCCGCAGACGCGATGTGTACATTTCCGCGCGAGAGAGGGTGCATAAGCGCGCAGAAGAAGGACGTGTAACGCTTGCCGGGCTCTGCAGGAGGGACGTAGGGCATCGGCTGGCGGCCGGCCCATTGCAGCAGCCTTTTTTTGTGTGAGTACATGTGCCAGAGACAAAAATTGACGCTTACTCAGCCTGCGCAAAGACGGAATCGCATTAACGAGAGCATCGGTACTCCGCGCCTCTGCCTGACGCTTCCAGCTCTCTACTTCCTCCTTTGTACCCAGTGCGGAAGCAGGAGCAAAGATGAATGCTCCGGGCGGAGTGGACGCGAAGAGACCTTCCTTTTTTTCCCTGCTGGATAAAATTAATTCATTGGCTTATTTACATAAGAACCACTGTTGGACTTACTATAGGTCCTCATGAAGTTTGATGACATCAGGGCCTGCCAGGATATCTGGCGTCTCGTCATCAGTCTCGCATTCGGCAACGGTACACACGCCTATATAGCCCCCTGGAGCCAGCTAATCAGAAATGCAGAAATGAACGGCATTTTGGAAGCGTACGAAGGTTCTCTCCCACACCAGGTAGATAGACCAAGGTCTTGATGCCATGTTTGGAGAGAATATCTGGGTTACCAACTCCAGACAACTCCAGTAGCTGAGGGGTCTGGAAAGACCCTATCGGGATTTCAGCGGCATATACAAGTGCGAAATATATAGATTCGTACCGGTGGAGAGTACGACATCGCGTTTCACGTTCTCAATGCACAGTGTTTGTCCATTTTGCACGAACTCAACTCCCGTGGCGCGTAACAGCGATCCTTGACCTTCAAGCAAGACCTTAAACAGCGCTCAGCACGAGTATAATACGCGAGATGAGCTGCCACACCTTCGTGACTTGGGCTTCGGTAAGTACCAGCAGGTTCTTGCGATGAAGGTTGGGCTCGGAATATGCGTTTGCCGCGTAGGACCGGGTGGCAGTGTTGGTGTCTATAGTGAGGATGCTTGTCACCGATGCCGGTTCCCTGGTCACACAGAGCGGTCAGAAGCACGTGGTGAGCACGTATGAATACGCCGCACAGAGTCAAAATTCCAGGGCATACCAAGTTTCTCCGCAGTCTCGAAGGGCTTAAGAGGCATAGTGGTATCAGTGGGGCCGTACGAGATCTGGAGGGGCCCTGATGTGTTTATGAGCGAGCGAATTTGCGACTTGGAATCGCGATGACGTACCGTCGGTGCCGTGAAAGGCAAGGTTAGGCTTTGCCGCGAACTTGAGTGCTATTTCGTCAGACAACTTACTGCGCTGTAATGTCTCGCACTACACTATCGTCAATCAAGCAGATGATAGCAATACAACCCATGGCGTACAAATCTTTTTCATGTAATGGAGGAGATTGTCCCAGTTCCATCTCTTCATGCCAAAGTCTTGCTCTAGAGCGTTCATTTCTGACTTTGGCGGACAGAACATTCCCATAAAGTTGTTCTAGTATAGGGTATTAGAAATTGCAAAGACGCATTGCAAACCCGGGGCCTACGGGAGACAAACCCCCAAGGCCTTTGCCGCGAGGTTGCAGGACGACTCGGCTGCCCAGACGCAACTGAGGAACAGTGAGGAATGACCAGTCGAATTTCGGATTCGCGATGGTACGACCATGTATCCTGTCCTAATTTACGAACAGCACGTACGCGCAAGATCAAGTGTACGCACCTGGGATGTCGATTTCGGGTGTAGGGCCATGGCGCACGCCAGCCTCGATTACCAACACGTTGAGATTGGAATTCTCGCTCAAACTGATATAACCAGAGTTGAATTGCGAGCGACGCGTCGACTGGTGTAGAGAGCGCACCGGGCCACCGGAGTCAAGCCCGAAGTGCCACCTCCGACGACGATGTAGTCGAGATCTACAGACGTCAAGTCTGAGTATGACACTAGGGGCATTATGAAAAAAATTATGTTCAACCGCAGAAACGACGGCTATCCGCTGAGGACGAACGTCAAGCTGACAGACTTTCGGCGTAGACTGGATTAAATACTGGGTCTTACTGAGGCATAGGCGACCCATGTACCATCTAAAACGTAAACGGTCACACGGCGCACCGTGGAAGTGAGGTAGTCGTAATGTCATCAGCGCCGGGGTGTACTTCTTCGGAGAGAACAGTTGCAGACGCAGCGATAGTGGTTCATCTCCAAGACCTCCCCGTGTACGAGGATATGTTGAGTGCTGTCGAGCCAAGCGCCATCCTTTTCTGCTCTCCCGCCGCGAAGCTGCTTTGAAAGGAGAGACTTCACAGCGAAAAGCGGACGAATTCCGTGCTCCGTCGAGACCCGAGATTGATCGTGGTCATTATTTCGTGAAAGCTATCACGTGCATTACACGTGATCGCGATCTAGCGCGTTTAATAACGCCGTTTATGTAACACCAACCAGCCGCTTATCTCCTGCAGCGCCTTTGTCCTCTTCCAGTTCATGCCACGGCGCAACCAAAGCATAATATACGTCTGGATATTCGCTGTATGTTTTTTTATTCCAATATTATTTCGCCAAGTGGTCATAAAAAATTTGTATGGCGTCCGCTGACACTTTTGCGCTTCCGGCAATGATCAGCATCTCTGGAAATCGAACAAACAGCGTATGTCTTCGGCAATTTTGGCGAGCTAGGAGAAACCATGCGTCGGTCTTGATTTTCTTCAGACCGGGCCTGCCGAACAGGCTGCGCACTGTAGCCACTCCCAAGGATGAGAGGCACGTAGTCCGCGAAGTCGTTTGCATCCATCGTCGACAGCGGCGCCGTCACCATGTGCATATTTTCTCAGTCCATGGAACTGAGTGCTTTCAGGCTGTGTGTTGTGAAGGTATGCAAGAAGCTCTATCATCTCTTAGTGGAACAGCTCGGACTGCTGACAGAATATTCCAGACGGAACGAACAAGCACGGCGATATACTAGAAGTAAATGAGACACAGCGCTCTAGCCGGTTGTTTTGCGTACTCAGAGTACGCCATAGCGGGTAAGAGGGCGGTGTGCTGTACATGCATGCAAGACATACTCATGCGGGTCCAGCGTGAGTCTGAGCCGACCCCTGGGCCCAATACAAGCCGCGGGCTAAAGTCAGAACTTCCTTACTACAGGTCTTTATCGGAAAAGCACATGTACCAGGATCTCAGGTCCCTACCCACCATATCACGGCTTCCAAGGAATTTTCAACCGCACTTCATCGTAGTAGTGCTTGACAGAGACCGCCTGGTCTAAAGTATCAATATCTTATCTATTATGTGAGCACGCCCCCGAGGCTGATGCACAATGTGCGGTTCAGCTTTAGGCCGGTCGTCGGTCAAGTTAAACCACACGAAGGTCTGCGAGAGCTCAGTGCCGATGGCCTCGTGGAAACAGACCTGACCCCCATATTGACTATAGCTTTGCCCGGTCTGCTTGCCCACTACAGCGCTAGTACGCACGGATAGGCGCCAAAGCCTGCCGCGTTTAGTTCGTCCTCTGTCCAACACAGTGCCAGGGCTGAGTGTTTCTCTACATGGAACAATCAGCGCGCGCGACAAGCTGCCACCGTGTTGATGTAGATTTTTTCTCGAGGCCGCGAACGCGAACACACCTAGTCAGCACGATAGGATCGTCTCTGTTCGCCTCCCGTACGCTTAATGCAAGTGGCTGCGGCCTCAGCGTTGTAGCGCGCAGACGCCAAGCGTCTCAAATGTTTGGAGCCATCGACTGTGCGCCAAAATGGATTTTTGAACATAATATAAAAAGTTGCAGTCTCACTGCGTTAGCGAGTAGAGTTTTCGGACAGAAAAGATGCAGCGAAAAAATTAGCCCTTTGTGAGAATCGAACTGCACGCTTTCATTCTCACTCCGGGAGTCTGACGCTTTATCCAATTAAACTAATTAGGCAATGCCGTCTGTGGAATTTTAATCAATACAGTACACCAAGAGCACCTTCGAACTTTTTGCTTTTGTCCAATCGCAACACGGTAGCCTCTCTCATTTTGCCCCCGCATAAACACTCAATGACTAGTAAGTTCTCATCATAATTCGAATTTTACATTAACGCTTACAGCACTGCTTAGACTTGTTCACTATAAATATGCATAAATGAACTGATCGCAATCTGAGCGGACGATTGCCTCGAGAGACACTGCTTCCTCGGATGCTCAGCAGCTACTGTAGGGCGGTCTTCCCTGAATTAGTGATGCCCGTCGTGACGCTTTCCCTCCATCATTCCTCCAATATTCCTGCTGTCATGGTCTTTGGACGCGCCGCCCGCGGCACCCCAGTTCTGATATACCCTCCGCCGACTATCGCCAGCGTGGCACCGAGTGTGCCGCCAGGGTCCGCCTTGTTCGCGAACAGCGTCCACCATTTCTCGCTGCTAGCGAGGCCGTCGAAGTGAGTCGTGAGATCTGGGCAATATCGGCCTTGAGAGGCACAATAGGGCGGACGGCTAGCTGATGCATAGTGCTCGATGCTGGCCCGCACTGCCCAAGGGCGATGGGGCCGCGAAGCCAGAGATTGAGTTTGAGAATTGAGCGGCTTTAGAAGGCTTTTGTTTTCCGATGAACGCTACTCCCTCAAATGTTTCTGTGCTTGTCAGTGGTTCGAAGCCAGCTGTCCTGTCCTCAAGCGTGCTTGTCACCACTCAAGTCGGGCAGGCTCGCCATAGTGGATCAACGGGCCGAGGTAGCCCTTCTAAGACCCGACACACTTTGTTCTCCGGCTTTGCCGACGCGTCTTCCAGTCTGCACGACTACGTCAGGCCGAGCACCGCTCGATTTGTCCCTGTGAACTAACTATCCACCCGTTACCCACAAGATGAAGTCCGACCTTTGCCCGACCTGAAAGCTTCGGTTTGGGTGCGCCCATTCTTCTTGACCTTCCAAGCACTTGAAATGCTGGTCATATTAAAAATACGCGCAAGGGTGAAGCACTCGCTAGCCGAACAGATCATTTCCCAGCGGTCCACAGCTGTGCGTCGGCCCCAAGCGCTCGCTCATCAACTTTGTTGCTATTGG